CCCCCTTATACTCCAACCCCAACCCCACCATACCCCCCCTCATCCCCAAAAGTTTCTCAGCGGATTTGGGCTCTACTCAGCAAGTGCGGTACAGCCCCCAACTCAGATTTGAAAAAAATCAGCGGATGGTTGTTTTCTGACTGATCGGCAGACCGCCGACCGGTCGGCCCTTCTGGTCGGCTGCAATACGGTCGGCGGTCGGGGTCGGCGGTCGGCAAGGATGCAACCCTGGTTCGGTTCCTTTGTTGCCTCTCGATTTATGCATGTCATCCTTCCGCAGGGGCCATGCTAATCCTAATGGACCTAATCTTCTTTGTATCGTTCCAATTTTAACGGATGCCAGTCAATTTTGGATACAACATGTACACCCCTCACGCATCCTCCTCCCGTTCGGCGAAAGGACCCCTGACCAGCATAGATTGCTCCCTGTTACCAGGAGGATTGACTGTCAGCTTGCCGTTCGCATGTATTCCTCCCCGCTCTCTTGCGTATGCCTGTCAGTTCTGGCAATTGTCCTCTAGAAAATTAGTAGAAAGTACTAGAAACATAAGAAGGCAACCTCCCTTCGAACCGATCATCAGGACAATGTTGGGCTCTCAAGCATCTCTGTCTGGGCGTCCTGTCTCCATGCTGGAGTCTCTGAATTGTGCCAGTCCTTGAATTTCAGCCGCATGTCGTTGACATCTGCCTCCTTGCCCTGCGCTAGCCAGATTCTTTTGAACCTCATCAGGCATCAGGTGTACCTGACTGGTGTGAACCATCTCCTTAACCTTCCTCCATTTGCAGAGAATCTCTGCTCCCACCATGGTCTTTGTAGTGGCGCGCACGTTCTCAATTGCGTTCTTAGTCTTGTCCAGGATTCTGCTGCATCTTTTCCTTCCACCAGATTGCCCATAGAATAGCTTTACGAGCTAGGATGGTCCACGGGCCGCCCGGCGGCCTGGTCGTCGCCCGGGGGGGGGCGCCGGGCCACCTGGCCGGTTGTCACGCCCGGTTGGCCACCGGGCGCCGTCAGCGCATCAGTGCAGGTTTTTTTTTTTTTTTTTTTT